ATAAAAATATTATATAGATATATTATAGATATATTATAGATATATTATAGATATATTATAGATATATTATTATAGATATATTATTATAGATATATTATAGATATATTAAAGATAAATTATTATAGATATATTATAGATATATTATTATAGATATATTATAGATATAATATATATATATGAATTGATATATTTATAAATTTATATATATAAATTCATGGGATATTATATATATTTCGCCAAATAAAAATTCCCATCTCTCTCTATATATATATATAGATGGGAATATTATATAATAATAACGGGAAAATTATATATATATATATATATATATATATATATATATAGAGAGAGAGAGAGAGAGAGATGGGAATTTTTATTCAGCGAAATATATATAACATCCCATCAATTTAAGCATTTAATATTTCCCCATCGAATTACATTCAACGTTGCTTCTCGCATTATCTCAATAAGACAAATTCGAAGCGAAATAAATGATATTCCGTTCCTCTATTTTCACGCTCCCGTCAATTCGATTTCGATAGCAATATTCTTACGGGCTTCTCCTCGGAGCATTTTTTTAATGGCTTTCGAATGAGCGAAACCTGCGAGGGACATGTGTTACCGTCGTTGCGCTCCACCAGGTAGCGGAGCTTTATAAAATAACGTTCAGGACTCAATCCGGTAACCATGTGTACACGTCCTTTCCGCTCGCAGTTTATCACGATCCGGACATATAATCAGGTCTATAGCACTTAAAGGATGAGCAATAACTTATTCCCCGAACAAGCTGCATTATTTCTAAAGTGCGCTGTGTCTGCAAAGTAATTGAGATTTACGACGGCCGGCGTTTTAAAAATTTGGCGAACGTATTTTATTTTTCTCCTTCTTTTTCTTTTTCTTTTTCTTCCTTATTTTTTTTGCCGCGGAACCAAATGAAAGAATATTGTACAGCGGCGGCTCGGGGAGATTCTTTTTTGTTGCCGTTTTATTCCCTCCTTCGAACAATTTACTATCGCTTTGAACAGCTTTTTTATACATCCATAAACAGCCAAGATGTTCCCATTCACGTGCTACATCCGCTGTATCATTCATATTTCAATTTTTTACCACGCGGAGGTCGCGCGTTTCGCGGAACTACCGATGTTTAAGAGATATTTGAGAGTCTCCGTTACAAGCGCCTCTACTAATTTCTCCGGAAATAAGATTGCACGCGTGCGTAAGAATTACACGATGAAAATCGTAGTTATCGAATCAAAATATAAATCTCGCTGACGGAGAGAATTATCGAATACGAAAGTGATCAAAGTTTGAAATTGTTGTCCTCCGATTAAAAATTTGCAGTTTACGAAGTGTCCGGTGTATCCTTTAAATATAAATTAGGTTTCGCATAAATTAGGTTTCACATAAATTTGATTTTATATAAATTTGATTTTAAATAAATTCGATATTATAAATAAATTCGATTATAAATAAATTCATTTTAATATAAATTCGATTTAAGACAAATTTGATTTCACACAGGTTTCATTTGATACGAATTTAATTTAATGCGAATTTAATGGAATCGGTTGCGGAAAAGAGTGCGATTGAAATTACATTAAAAATGAAAATCATCGCGATAAATGGCGGTCCCCGTTTTCGAGGTAGAATTTTCGCAAATAAATAAATAAATTACAGTCGGAGACGTCAAACATTCATGGATTAAATATCGCTGATTATTCCGTACAGTGCAAGTGAAAATATTGCGTCGCTTTCAAACTAAAACACTATTACAACGCTATTTCCCGTACAATTTGGCTTCTCTGAAAGACAATTCCAAAATACGGAACGAATGTTAAGAACGCCCGGATAAATGTTTCCGTCAACGTCTCGCGGCTGCTTGCATTTTCGGTAATTAACCCGGCGAGATATGGGGGCCGTGCAGGGGAGGAGGGTAATAACAGTCGAAGCAGGGAAATCGTAAAAGCTTATTACACGATACGAAGTGTAGGCAGACTTAATGGAAAAATGGTGTCAGCCGAGTGGGTGATACGTCGCCGACCGTATCAGTGCCGTTAATACAGTACACGCGACCGGTCTGCCTGCGATATTGAATCATTACTTCTCATTTTCTTAGCTGTCCCCGGCGTTACAGGTACAATCGATTAAACGTTGATCATTTACTCGAGCAGCTCCTTTAACACGCCGGTTTTACAGAAATTGTCCGTGGCGCCACGATGAATTTTCTATTACGTGATACATATAATATTAAAATATTATCTGCAATAGATCAGTTACAGTGTATAACCATGTTTGACACGTTAATTGCGACAGGGGTCGCTGTTTGAATTGACGATGGCAATAATACAAAATTTTAGATATTGACATTTGTTTTAAATTATATACAGGGTGTCCCAAAAATGTCTCGCAATCCGGAAATGGCGTTTCCTCGAATCATTTGAAGCAACTTCTTCCTTTACAAAAATTTTCTCCGAGGCACCGTTAACGAGTTATTAACGAAAAACAGTGACCAATAAGGATCGAGTACGGCTGACGCGAGGCGGCCCAGCCAACCAGCGCGCGAAGCCCAGTTCCGCTCATTGGCTCGGTCGCCTCTCATTGGTCACTGTTTTTCGTTAATAACTCGTTAACGGCGCCTCGGAGAACATTTTTGCAAAGGAAAAAGTTGCTTCAAATGACCCGAGGAACCGCCACTTTCGGATTGCGAGACATTTTTGGGACACTCTATATATATTTCTATTAATTTGGACGCGCCGATCATCGGTGGCCCCCATGGCGTCACCGCCAAGTTAAGTGCCGGTCACCGGTGACCCCCGTGGCATTCAACGTGTTAACAAGTTCTTGAACAGTCGGAGGCTG